ATGTAAGACAGCAGGCTAAGCACAAGCCAGAGGAGCAAGCCTATAAGCAGCATTCCTTCTTGCTTGGCACTTCAGCTCCTGCTTACAGGTTCCTGCCTTGAGTTCCTGCTTTGGGCTTCCCTTGATAATGGACTGTGACAGGGATGTATGACCCCAATTTGACCCCCTTTGCTCCTCAAGTTTTGGTCAGAGTGTTTTATCACAATAATTGAAAATAACTAGAACAAATTTTAACTGATCTATTTTTTTTTTACTGCATGGAGAGGTGAATTTCCTCTTATTTTTATTAATAATATGTAACAGATGTGCGCAAAACTTTGAATATAATACATTCATAAACAAAAACACATATTTAAACTGAGCATGGTGGGGTACCCCTTAATGGAAAACCAAATACTTGGGAAGTAAAGGCTGTCAACTGATCTATTTTTTAAATTTTATTTAATGTGGATGAGTGTATTGCCTGCATGTATGTAAGTACACCCGTGTTGTTTTGACCCACAGAGGTCAGATCATCATATCCCATGGAATTGGAGTTACATGTCATGGGTGATTGTTAGCCACCACGTGGGTGCTAGAATTTGAACCCAGTCCTCTGGAAGAACAGCAAGTATTCTTAACCACTGAGCTGCCTCTCCAGTCCAACTGATCTATTTTCTGCTTTTACTAGACTTTTAGAAGAGAAAGGGGATTCATAAGAAAAAACACATTGATCTAAAAAGACATTTAAGAGTTTTAAGAATTCTGCATGTAATAGCCTCCTAGGAGTTCTTTGTCCCCAGAGTTCTTCAAAAATAGTCATTTGTCTGTTTTCTACTCCAAACGGCTTAAATGTTGACTTACCTGGTGACAGGTCTTAAACAATTTATCAGCTTCCTGCAGCCTGAATATCCAACACAGATTAGAGTCTATTCTGTGCCAGGATGATTTGGTGCCATCCATTCAATGTAAATCATTATGACAACTGATTAGAGAGGCCATGCAGATGCCAGAGGTTAGACTCTAAACACTGCACATTCTTCTTAGAGAGGGTCATGGCATAGGAAAATGTCCTTAGCTCTTCCAGTGATTAGCAAGCCCCCGGTACATCCCAGAATATGGCATGACTAGTACAGGAAAAAAAGAAAGAAAGAAAAAAAAAAACTAAAAGAAGCAAGGGGTTCTTCCTAAGTCCCTAAAAGAAACCCTTAATAAGTATCAACTTCAAATGACTCTACCAGTAAAAAAAAGACAGAAGGAATTAATTTGGCCATCTGCATAATTTTAAACACCCAGCAGCAAAGTATAGTCAAAAAATGAAATAATTGGTAATAATGTAAGACAAAATGAATTTTAAAAGGGGAAAAACAATGATTCAGCCTTTATAAGCATCCCTGCTTATGGGACACTGACAATACCAAGTAGGGCAATCACAAACACCCCAGCTATAATTCGATAAAAGGACTCCAATGCCTTTCCTAACTCTAAACAATATTTTCTCCAGTCTGAAGCTAAAGGGACTTCAATTCGTGGTCACTAAATTCCTCCATTATGGGCTTTTTATTCCCTCCCAGTCACTCTGTAATACCCCAATGTTGGCCATTAAAATCATTCTTCAGTTCAGCCTCCTGAGATTTCTTCAAACTGATAATAATATTTCCTTTGTTTTTTCAGATCTGTAAGTCTATAGATATTAACTTCATTACTCTCAAAGATCCCAGTCCTCTGAAAAGGTGGAATGTGCTAATCAGATCTGAAAGTCATCCATTAAAAACCTTTGGCTGTAGACTCAGCTTACCCAGAAAGCAATAGTCCTCCCTAGCAAATAGCCACCCTTTAGAGTTTGTCTAAGTTTCTATACAGTTCTCAGCATAAGCACCTTTGCTACAGAGTGGATTGTGACTCTGGGAATATGTTGGGCATCTCCTACAGACACCGATTGACTATGTGGCCTTTGTTATCCCAGGATGGATTGGTAGATATACTGTAGGATTTCTTTGAGTAGAAGTGACAGTTAAAAACTCTAGAGCACCCTACAAATTTACTTATGTTACGTCTTTAGACCTTAACTGCTTACTTTTGGTATAATCATCTAGTTTCCATTTTTTGCCATCTATGGGACTAGAGATCATTATTTGTCATATTAAAACTTTTACTAAATGTGCTTTTACTAAATGAAGGCTTTAAATGGCACAGCCCAGGGAATGTCTCTTCATTCTGAAGTCCAAACAATGATAAAAGCAATTATACAAAACCATATAGCTTTAGATATCCTGACAGCTGCTCAGGGGGCCACTTTTGCTATTATCAAGGTTGAATGTGATGTGTGTATGTGTGTGTGTGTGTGTGTGTGTGTGTGTGTGTTCCAGATAACACTGCTAATTTCTCTTCTGTTTTACAAGATATATAAAATCATATTCAAAGTAAGTTAGAAACCACCATCCTTTTCTGCAGAAAGCTTTGGAATTTGATCACTGGGTCTTCATGATGGAAATGAGTGTGTGCCTTTATCTAAGTAGATGCTGTTACTCTTTGAAGCTTGTCTACTTAACTACTGTCTCAACTTTATCTCCTCTCATTTGCAGTCGATTCACCTTCACATCTCTTATGTCAGTTTAACTCCATATATCCTTTTGATCATCCTCTGAGGCCTGAGAGCAGCAAGAGTGGAGGACCCAACCCTTCTATACTCCCTTCAGCCATAACTAGACAAACTTACCCAATGCTTATCTCCCAAATGATTTTAGGGTCTCAGATTTTGAGGGGAGAGTACTAGGAAGAAACTTGTATTTTAGGAGGCTTGAAAGTTATTGAGGATGGACCCCTCCCTCATAATTAGCAGCTTGTAAATCTCAAAACTAAAACTACTAAACTGTTGATTACCTGGTCCAAAGAACGGGATCTGAATCACATCTCTGCCCTGAATGGAGACATGACATTCTGAGCTACCTGGAAGTTCATTAATAGGAAGCTATTTAAACTTTTTAAATTGTCTATTCAGAGACTATCTGACAAATAACAATAATATACCCTGTCTCTACCATCCAAATGTACCTATCAATCACCTGGACAGGAAAATACCCCCTAAGAAAAGCTGTCTGTTCTAGAAAATTTAGAAGAGTATAAATCCTGCATAAAATTTAGACTGGCACAGTGGTCTGTTTGCCATTGTCCCCATCTACTACTCTAGAGTGCGTTATCCTCTATTCTACAGTAAACTCTAATTATCTTCTACATGAGAAAGAAAAACACACAATGAAAGTAGCTACTTAAATACAAACTGTGATCAGTCCACAAAATTACAGCCCCAATCTCTCTAAATATCAATGATATTTTAAAAGGCAAGGAAGGGATTGAAAGCACACAATCAAATGTAGCATGTTTACTTTGTTTAGAAACTGATTCAAACAAATTGATACTAAATAGATAGCTTTTAAGACAACAAGAAAAATTATGATACAGGATTATTGTGATAATATAATAAAAATATGAGATTCTTGAGAATATGTCTCCTCTCTTAGAGATGCATGCTGAAGCATTTTAGAATAAAAGTGTCATATGTCATTATGCTTTAAATACTACAGAAAAACTATGCATGAAGGGATACATAGAACATGATAAGAGAACAGTAGCATGTATTTAAGGTGCATAAGACAAGGTTCATCACAATGGTCTCTCTTATTTTTTAAATTTTCCATGATAAAAAATAAGGGATGAAAATATAAATAAATAAATTAATCCTCAGTCCATTTGATCAACTTCATTACTGAAACAATGGAGGTTTTTATTGTGCTAGAAATTTCTTAAGTTTTTGGTACATATTTTCATTAGTAATTTTACTTCTTACATTTTAAGATTGAATTCATCTGCTAGAGAAAGGAAGTTAATAAATGAACAAATTCTCAATGTAAATAATAATTTGATATTTCAAAAATATCAAAAATAAAATGTTAATTCTAATGCTCAGTGAAAAAAGCAGGGGTTAGAGACCTGTTTCTATTTGTATGAGGTGAGAGTATGGTTTCTGATTTCTGTTTATAGTGAAGATAATATAGTGGGGAATATTTGTAAATACTGAAATTCATGTGGAAAAAATTAATGTTGCTATATTTGTTAAAAGTGCCTAATTACCATAATTTTGTTACTTTAAAGTGATTGATGTAAAATCTAGTCCTCCCACTTATTAACTGTATTATTCTCTCATTTGGTTTTAAGCAACAGAGACTTCTCTAGGAGGAACAAGAGGTAAAAAGCCAAAATCAACTTGTCTTCACATTCTCTGTGCACTTGGATACATACCACATTGATACAGAGTGGCTCAATACACAAGATTAAACTTCTAAAGTTCATAGAAAGTTCTTAAGCAATATCTTAGCAGTGGAAAACGAACATCAATCTTAGAAAGTTTTCATAATAAAGTATCCTTTCTAAAGTGTTTTAATACTTCAACAGGATTTTTTTTACATTTTTTTCTGAAAAAAGCTTGAAGGTGGCTCAAACTACAATTTTATGTTATTAAAATATTTTCAAAAATATTTTCAAAGAAACATACAATTATATAATCATATTGAAATTTAATCTCCTTGTCTGAAATACTTTAAATTTTAAAAATGTAAGACATTTGCTTTTCTTTCTAAAGGTAATATCTTAAGAAAAGACACTCTAAAATCTTTAGTTGTCACCTCTACCAGAAGAAAGCAGAGAAAAGATGAAGGAAAATTTGTCCCTGTAAACAATTTCACAAGGGTTAGGCCCAGGCATTTCCTTATGAATTAAACTATGTGGCCAGAGATTATGGGTACAACAGCAATGAAGACAATTATTTCTGTACTCAATAACAAGCTTTAACATCAAGGACTGTCCTAGGAGGATGTTTTATCTTTCCAGCAGTTGATTCAGCTGAGAATGTAAAAGAAATATTTCTCATCTTCCAAATGTGTGCATCTTGTCATAACTATGCCCTATTACCTCCTTTTCTTGCGGGGGGGGGAGGGGGGAGGTTGGATACCTAAACACCTTACCAACTACAGCCTCGGTGAATTTGCCTTCTGTGGGAAGAGGAAAGTACTGGTTTGGAGACACATTGCTGCCGTATCCCAAGAGAAAACCTTCAAGCTTTACATTTGGACTTGGACGCAGGAACTTCAAGAGGATGGAGTCACTCGTAGTGTTGATGTGCACCTTCAGATTTGGTCGTTTACCTAATGTGGAAACAAAAGGTAAGTGGTTGCTACTTCACCTCTCCTGCATCCCACAAAAATCCCAGCAACTTGCCTGTCAGAGGCATTCTTAGAAAGAATGCTATTGCCTTTGCTACTCAGGATCGTAGCCCAGGGACTCAAGTGCCCAACTGTAGCCAAATTTAAGATTAAAGGAAATGGAATGCACTTAGTAATGTAAAAACAGACTAAAATAAAAAGTAAAAATATTGAGGGATCCAAGTCTTGGTAGTTAATTCTTGAGCACATAGGTGAAATTTAGGATCATTTGGTTGTTTTGTTGTTGTTGGGGTTTTTTGTTTGTTTGATTTGGTTTTGGGGGGGTTTGGGGGTTATCCAAAGTTGGT